AGAGCCCAGGTATGCTACCCCCGGTCCGGTAACTACGGCTCGGTTATGAAGTCATGCCACTAAGGAGCCTTGTTTGCTGACTTGTTGCATAGCCACGTAGAAGCTATTTCTAACATGGCGGCTACTCTTTACTGTCTCAACAGACAAGATGAGGCCGAAAGGTGCTGGCTCAAGGCTATCAAGACTCGACCGCAATATCTTGAGGCCGTGGAGCATTTAGTCGGTCTCCTTTACAAGAAGAAGAGCCTCGACGCCGTGGATGTCATTGGCTTCGTACAAAAAGCCTTGAGACTGCCAGTGGATTCGATGGAGCATACTGCATCCAGGTCCTCTAATACTCCAGCAGATGTATTAGGCAAGCAGGCATTGACCTCTTTGTACGAAAACCAGTCTCAACCTGGATTTGGCTCGAGTGGTTATGCCATTCCTGGCACTGAGAATGGCCGCATTCTCGCTCTTGTTCACGCCAAAGGAACAATGCTATACAGCCTGAAGGACATTGCGGGAGCGTGCGAGGCTTTTGAAGAAGCAGTGTTGATAAGCACCGGCAGGCGAATGACCTCAGTCCAGAGACTTGTGCGGCAGATTCAACAGGTCCTTGCTCCAAATAGCGGTATTCGGGGTGTTCCTGACACGGTAAGCTCATCTCGTCCTTTGCTGCTGCCTCCTGAAAAGGCGAGGCGCACCGCAAAATTGGTCTTCTCCAACAACGGCGACCTTCCAGGCCTGCGATTTGTCCCCGAGGGTGGCCCTAAACGAGCGGCCATTCAAACCACGAGCAATTCGTTACTGTCGCTTGCCAAGATATTTCAGGATGCCATGTCGTCGGGGTCCCCAGCAACGGGTCTTGCTAGGAAGTCAACTGGAGTTTGCGATATCCTGGCTCTTTACTATCTATCATTGTCCTTGCAAGAGAGCCCCTCTACTGCCAACAATGTGGGCATCCTGCTCGCAAGCGTCCAACAAACCGCAACAGCCACCTCTCCCGGGACACTGTCGTCTCTGCCCAATATCCCCGGTATCCCGCCCGGCAGTGGACTTGCTCTGGCTCTCGCATACTACAACTATGGCCTCACCCTGGATCCCAAGCATGTTCACCTGCACACCAATCTTGGCAGTCTTCTCAAGGATATTGGACAACTCGATCTTGCGATTCAAATGTACGAACAGGCTGTTCAGTGCGACGGCAACTTCGACATTGCTTTGACGAATCTCGCCAATGCTGTAAAAGACCGCGGGCGTATTAGCGATGCCATTGCATACTACAAACGGGCTGTTCGCTCCAATCCGGACTTCGCCGAGGCGGTTTGTGGGCTTTCCACAGCTCTAAATTCAGTGTGCGACTGGAGGGGCCGTGGCGGCGCCTTGTTGCAGGGTGGTTTGTACGATCGTTGGCATGTCGATGATGACGGTATGATCTTTGATGCTACGAAGCAGGATCAAGGGACCGGTCTCACGAAGAAGGTTATTGACATTGTGTCTCGCCAACTTGCTGATGCTCCAGCTTGGGGACTAGGAGTCCTGCAAGAGAATGACCTTGCGATTTTGGTCCCACTGCTTTCCAGAGCCTCAGGTCAGCCGGCAAGCACAGGCATAGACTTTGACTTCAAGTTGCGAAGCTGGTCTAAGAGACCTTGGGAAGGCTCGCGGTTGGTGAGGCTTGTGGAGCGAGCTACGCGCGCACTAATGAGGCAGTGGTACCGTGATAAGTATGTTCATGGACTGGGGACGGCATCTGAATACAAACGACCTCAGCTACCAGCTAATCTCACGGTGCCATCCGCCCCGACGGTTCTGCCGTTTCACACCTTCACTTGTCCTCTGACGGCCAGGGACATCCGTATGATATCTCAGCGCAACGCCTTTAGGATCTCTTGTTCAACGCTCCGCTCCCCATGGCTACCCAGCACGGTCTATCCGCCTCCGCCCCCACCATCGCCTCATCTAAACATTGGCTACGTATCCTCGGATTTTAACAACCACCCCTTGGCCCATCTGTAAGATACATTTCTCTGCTCAAGTGTTGGTACCTGCGCGAAGCTCCATATGCTGATATATTAATCCTTTGCAGAATGCAATCTGTTTTCGGGTTTCACGACACTACTCGAGTCAGGGCCTTTTGTTACGCTACAACAGCGAGTGACAAGTCAGTCCACCGTTTGCAGATCGAGCGGGAGGCACCGGTGTTCCGAGACGCAAGTAATTGGACTTCCGATAAGTTGGTTGAAAAGATTGTGGAAGACAACATCCACATCCTTGTCAATCTCAACGGCTATACCAGAGGCGCTCGCAACGAAATCTTTGCTGCAAGGCCGGCTCCAATTCAGATGTCGTTCATGGGCTTTGCCGGAACACTGGGCGCCGAATGGTGTGACTATCTACTTGCGGACACCACTGCCATTCCGCCCGAAACCTTACGGCCTTGGCGTGGCAACCTCACCGTCGGCGATGTCTTTGAAGACAAGACTGAAGAAGGCGATGGCGATTGGATGTATTCGGAGAACATCATTTACTGCCGAGACACGTTCTTCTGCTGCGACCACGCACAGTCTAGCGACCCCGACGAACACAAGGTGTCGTGGGAAGACGAGCAGCGGCGGCGTTGGAAGATGCGCAAGGAACTATTTCCCGACTTGCCCGATGATAGCATCATCATGGGAAACTTCAACCAGCTATACAAGGTTTGTCTTGTCTCCGTTTCCCTGCCAGTGGCATGCCTGACGTCAAAGAAAGATTGACCCTACAACGTTCCGAACATGGCTGCGCATCCTCTCAAAAGTGGATAATGCTATTCTATGGCTTTTGCGGTTTCCCGAACTTGGAGAGACAAATCTTAGGAGGACCGCGGAAGCCTGGGCAGGACAAGAGGTTGCCAAACGAATCATCTTCACCGACGTAGCGCCCAAGAACCAGCATATATCGCGAGCGCGCGTCTGCGACCTGTTTCTCGACACTCCCGAGTGTAATGCGCATACTACGGCTGCAGATGTTCTATGGTCCAGCACGCCACTTCTGACATTACCGCGGTACCCGTACAAGATGTGTTCGCGTATGGCAGCGTCAATATTGAGGGGCGCACTGCCCCATGGTCCCGAAGGTGTTGAGGCAGCAGAAGACCTCATCGCAGGCAGTGAAGATGAGTATGAAGAGTTCGCCGTCCGACTGGCAAAGGGCCTCTCGTATCGCATCAGCCACGGCGGCTACGGCAAGGGCCAGGGCCGCCTGGCAACTTTGCGCAAATTGCTTTGGGATAGCAAGTGGTCATGCGCTCTCTTCAACACAAGACGGTGGGTGGCTGACCTTGAGCGTGCTTATGATGAGGCATGGCGACGCTGGGTGGCAGGTGAAGATGGAGACATCTACCTGTAGAAGCTCCAAAACTTTACCACGACCACGGACATGGCGATGCTAACGAAATTTTCTCAATAATGGGACGAAGGGCTTACGTCCAGCGCTTCTATATATTATAGGGGTATAGACTCGTTTAAGGAGGAGTCGCTGTGCATATCGTTATGTTCCCTTGCGGCTCTGACTCAGGATTCCGATCAACGTGGAGTCATTATGGCGGCAGACAGTGGAGTTTTCTCTTCTCTCTCAGTTGACTTGAATACTGGCTAGTGTCCAGACATTGGCGATGGAAGTTTAAATGAAGCAAGTCACGGTTGGCATAGACGCCTAGTTAGGGAGGGCTACAACTGTTCGGTGGATACCGCTTTTTTGTCTTTATTCAAAGAAAACCTACGGGCAGTCCCCATTCATTTCAGGCAGGGACTTGGCGTTCGAAGGGAAGCCCAGAGCGGGCTATGATGTATATAAACAATACCCGGTGCCTCTTTCCTCGCTGATGCGAGACGTGAGGCCCTTGCGATCCATTTGTTTGATTTGATTCTACTTGCTAAGGCTAAGTAAGCATCGATAGGCCTGCCCCTGGTTTATTTCTTGTATCTTGGCATCGACTGGTTGTTCCTTCACTTTGGAAAATTCTTGATGCGATCTTGTAACGCTGACGGTGGTATCCAACTAAGCAATTAACCCATCACTGGTGCACTATATGTACCCAGAAAAGACCAGATCGCGAAAGCTTAGGCGCAAAGGGAAAATGACTGTTGATGGTGGTGATTACAGCGCTTTGGGTTGGACTACTATTACAAACGTCAATCCCCGCTATATGGAAAATGAAGACAATAACAGGCTGTTTGAGCCGGTGCCATGAGTGAGGGTAAACATGCACTTGTCGTGACGGCCGGCCACGGATAAATAGCAGCAGCCAGGTAATAGAAGAAAGACCATCCACCACTGCCAACTCACATGGACCATAGATAACCAGTTTGGGACTGAATGTTCTCGCAAGTACGCCAATAAAAAACGCAGAACGGCCTTGATTCTCCCTCGCCCTCCCTCGGCATGGCTCGTTGGCGTTCTATCAACCCCCCACCCTTCTCCTCACACCCTCACATCTCTACCCTGCCCACCAAAAGTGACCCAGCAGGCTCCAACCAAATATTGACTGTGCCAGTTTGGGATTCATTGACTCGTTCCCATCTAATGTAGGAAAGGAAGCAGAGACAAAGAAGAGAAGAAAAAAGAAAAAAGAGGGGGGTTCCCTGGCGTGAATCACCAGTACATGCGCTTGGTCCCAAGGAACGACTTTATCCCAAGACCACGGCGCTCCGTATTGGAAATATGACCGCCGGCACCAGGAAGCCTCCCTGCGAAAAGATACAAACGCAGACTTGGGATAATGGCAAGGGAGACGCCATGAGGTAGGTGGGTTGACAAAGAAGAAAGAAAGAGGGGGACAGGCAGAAGCGCCTTACGTTCTTCCGGAGTCAGATACAAGAGGACGGCAGGATGGTGAAAGCAATGAAACCTCAACTGTATTCAGGTGGAGTGATGAATATGGCGCCGTAGATGTTCCTCAGGCGAGTCAGAGTACAGGGCCATGCCAGGAGGATACAAAATTCTGGTTGCCCATGCTGACCGATAAAGTGACCATCAGCATGCCACGAGCTGCTAATGAGACAGAAACAACAGCAACTAGAGCAGTTATCATGAGCGACAACGGTATACAACATGGAAAATCCAACGTCCCTACCACTGGCGTCTCAAGCGGCTGGAACGGTGGCTTGCAAAACCAAAGAAGCAACCAGCAGTCGTCCAGTAGGAAGCGATGCCGTTGTGCACTGGAATGATGGTGGCATGGCAGCAGACAAGCAGATAGTGTGCGAGACATGAAGCACGAGTCTTGTTGTTGTCGTATTGTGGATGTACAGTTTTTATCTCTTACTCCACGCCATAGTGCTTTCGGCCGTTACAGGGCCAAGATCCATGTTATCATCCAACAGTGACGGATGCTCAGGAACAAACGCCTATCCCACACAGCCTGGCAGAGTGGACATCGCGCTGTAGCGCCCACAAAGTTGGATGTCCAATGGTTTCTCGGATGTGATCTTACCTCTCCTGTGGCGCTCCTTCTCCTTGTCCCTATTCTTCCCCTTCCAAAAAGGGTGTCATGGTAACGTTTTAAGAATGTGGGAAATGAGGTGGTCTTCTTACCATCATAACAGTTGGGGGGGAGGGGTCACTGGGTGCCTTCAATCATCACCTATGGCTGCGTCAGAAGAGAGAGGGGCGTGAGAGACACATGGCCACTGGTCTATAAACCAGTACGCCCATTGCACGTCACTTGCTGCCCAACAGTATATGCCGTGTAATCTTTCTTTCTATCTGAGGGGTGCTCGTCGACTCGCCGGCCGGCTGTTTGGCCATTGGGATCACCCCGATCAGGCAGGCCATGTGTCATCGTAAGGGAAGAATGAAAGTGGCTGGCTGACTAGTCATCCAGAGACGCAACGGACCGTTGGTAGAGGGCCGTTGTGCTGACACCAACGCCAGTTTGTAGCTTGCGCTAAAATTGCTTGACCACCGCCTTCACTCTCCTCAGACATGTCGGTGCTAGTCCATCAATGAATGTCCAGTGCCCCATAAAACTGGATGTGAGCTAAATTTTGTTGTTATGGACGCACGAACGCAAGCATGCAAAAGACGTCAGTTGACAGAAGGAATAGTCGGCCAAAAAGGGGAGACGAGTGGCGGGAATTGCTTCGACAAAGTATATATATAAGCGATAGAGATAGCCAAGGGAGCAATCATATATAATGGAAACAAAGAGGAAAGGGAGGGCCAGAACGGCCGCTGGCGAGACGGGAGATCGGTGGAGAGGTGCTCCTATACCACGAGAGTGATAAGATATTAGCCCACCTGCGCTGTTGAGAGAGGGTCGTCATAGAACCAACCTGGCTTCCTCCCCAAGCAGCTTGTATTCCTAGTCGGTATTCATAAGTCGAGGCTGCTACAGTCACCTGCATGGCATGGATACCCGATCTCCAAGTCATTCGTTATACTAGCGCCGGCGCCGGTAGACGGACCGACCAGTGTCCGGGCACAGTCCAAGGGCCCAGCGAGGGCAAAACCAATCATAATCAGGATGGGACAAGGACAGCTAATGGTCGAAGACGGAGTCGAAAATTAGAGTGGGAAAAGCCGCGGTAGGTTTCGCGAAATGTGGGACAATAGAACTTGCCTCATGGGAGGTTCAATGGAAAGTTTGTATCCGTACGAGAGGCCCAGGTGCAGATGCAGATGCAGGTTGGTAGCCGAGGAGGCGGGAGACAGAAATCGGTGCATCTAGTAGTGGAACATCTCGTCTTGTTCCGACCCAAATGGTCGGTAGCCCTCTCTGCCGACACCCTCCCTGGATGGAGATCATTGGTAAAAAGAGAGGGGAATGCCTGCAGGATGCTTCCCCAATGGAGCGTAAGCCGAGGGGTAGAAGACAAAAATATTAGGTATCGAAAAGGGGGCAGGCAAAAATGAGCAAAGCTCGCTTGTCGTATCCCTTCGTGGCCTAGCCTCTCCAACCAGGGTACGTGAGTGGCGAGGGGCACAGTATGGGTGGACTTAAAAAAAAACACATTGGCTAAGTGGCCCCGGAATGGATTAAATGGCGTAGTAAAATCCCACACTCTAGTTTACCGCTGTTGCCGGCATAGATGAAGGAAACATAATCCGAGCTGAAAACCGAAGTTGAACACGTTAAGCGGCTTCAATCACATACATGCCCAACGTGGGCCAAAGTGTGGTGCGTCCCATGCTAAGAAGAAAGAAAAAAAAGTCCCCATATTCATCTTCCTTGAATGCCGCCACCTGTGCTAGGTAGATGGCGAGCAACGGGACACAGTCAATCGACTAAGTTCGACGATGCTTCAAGCACTTGCCGGAAGCAACTTGAGAAGAAGACCTCCCTTCCGTTGCAAAGCCGAGCGATGCGGATGGGAAGCGCTAGAACCTGCATTTACATCGGCACACTGGAGGGAAGAATGGGAAGGGAGATCACTTGTTATAGCAGTGGCGTCTTGCTACTTTGTAGCGTTGGTCGTCCGCCGGCGGCAAGTAGTTGATTCAACGTCCATAACCATCCTGCTGGGTGGGATGCCAACGGCTTTCGGGACGCGACTTTGACATAGCTTGGTCATTAGTTCGCCGACTGTCACCGTACTAAGTATCTATTCGCCGGTATACCAAACCCTCGGGCGAAGCTAGACCGGAGGCAGGCAAGCCACATCAGCATGCATCCGCAACTAACTTTGAAAAAGAAAATTGGTTGGCTCCGACTCAGCACGACGCCGCCGGCTATGAAGGCGGAGGGACATATCTTTTGCGTCATGGCGGTCCAGAAAGTGTAGCCAGCCATGCCTAGCTGACAATGTGGGTACGCTGTGTGGCCGGCTTCTCCATTTGTGTACAACCCCAGTCGATCGTTTTACAACTGGCATAAGCACATTCATCCCCATGACGCTTTACGGCTTCTCAGGGCTAGTCCGGGGTGGTGGAAGAAGGCAATAGTTGATGTTGAAAAGTTACAAGAGTTTTCTCCCTCCCGAAGTGAATCACCACCCTTCGATGCATCTCACTCATTGGTTGGCTGACGAGAATCATGAACCCCGGACACTGACTGTATTACCCAGCGAGATGTTGACAAATGGCCTGGACGGAACAGAAGGCCGTTCAGTTTTTACCACGAACGAGACACTGCGTTCGGCACCGGGGAGCTTGACAGAATCAATAATCGAATTAGCGTGTGCTTGTCGCAGAATATGCTGACACCGACAATATCTGCGCGAGTGCTGATGATATTTATGACGAGCGATGAGCATATATGCTTGTTCGTCCCGGTCTGCTGAACGCCCTCAACGCCAAACATCAGCCAGATCTTGGTCCCAAAGGAATGGAAATGCGCGACCGGGCAGGTAGCCATGGCGTCCAGCCCAGGAGGTCAACAAAACAACTAAAAAAAAGAGGGGAAAAATTCAAGCCAGCAAGCATCTAGGTATTGCAACAACATTAGCGCCAACCCGGCAGCAGGGCGCGCGCGATCCGTCACCATAGGCATGGCAACTATTGAGTGACTAGGGGGGCTCCATAGTTACGGACGAAAGCCATCACACCCCTTATGGTCCCACTACGGAGTGCTCGACTCCTTGACGGAACTAAGGAGGACATGAACGACAATGTCATGGGGGTGTCGTGGAACACTGACTATGTAACAGTGGTTTGTTGGTACATCTTGTCTCAGGCTCGTCTTTGCTTTTTGCGCCCCGCCATCAACGATCAGGTCCCTTCACTGTCATACAGGTCTTGTCCGTATCGACGGGAGATGCAGGGCTTTCTTTTATACAGGACATCCAAGATAATTAAGTAGTGGACGACGCGTCAGCAGCCCCATATGCAAGTTTCCTGGTGAGAAGCCCATGGGACGGGTGTGTTTCTTCGCGAATATCCGTATCCGTAGGGAGAATGCAAAGAGATATGTATGTTTCGCGATCTGCAATCCATAGGCATGGATAATCCCGTTTGACGGCCCAGGGCCCATTCCACCCATGCTCCCAGTCGGTTGGGTGCTATCCGAACCTGGGGCTACCAGGCTCGAGCTCGAGCTCGAGTCTTGCTAAACCGATCGGTCAGCAGGCCAGGCAAAAAGGACGGACTGCATCGAGGAAGATACAGCGTTGGGGGCGATATGTACCAAAGACTGGAGGCTTGTGTGCTTTGTGCTGAGGAAGTGTCTTTGTATTTTGATTAATCGTGAGGGACTAGGCTGAGCCGGGCGATGGCAGGGCGAGTGAGAGGCGAATTGGAAGCGTCAGCATCCGCATGCGTCGAGGTCTCGATGATGTCTGGTAACCGCGCACGGCAAGGCACCTCCGAAAGCCTGCTTGACGGATTGTAACAGCGGGATATCGATATATTATCGCTGCGTTTTTCAGGCATCGAGTATCAGATGCATGTGGTCTAGTAGCCGCTCGACCAATGCAGACGGGCAGGAGCGAAGCCAGATTCAGCATGTATGCATTCAAGTTGGCTATACGTGCGTACGACGACGATGGGCTGGGGTCGTTGGGATCGTTTCAATCGGCGGCAAGGTAGGGCCCTCGGATTATGATCTACCGGTACAGATACGGGCATGTCGCGCCGTTCATGGGTACCCTGTCTCACTGGACCGAGGCTGAGATGTAGGGAAGCGGCAGGAGGCGAGCGGGGGGCGGTAGAGTGGTCAGCCGTAGCCGGCTGCACAAGGTACCGTAGAAAACTGACGGCGGCAGGTTACGACGCTTCAAGGTGTGGTAAATAGGTGCAAGTGTGCCCGTGTTGCTGGTGTCGGGGACGCCATCAACTCGGGTCCCCAAGTTGTGGTTCAACGCTCTATGGGTGGAGAGGGGGGAGACTCTGGCCGTGTTCCTTTCCCTGTGCGTAAAACATCTAGGTAGTACCTGCCTACCTGCCTGCCTTACCCAGCCCAGCTGCCAGGAAAGCGCGAGTGTGAGCCTCCCCATACATGGTTTCCTTCCCGGGTGTCCAGCCATTTCAACGTTAGGTAGGTAGACCTAGGTAGTGCATCTCACCCCCGGGGCCTCCATCTCCTATTCCGCGTCTGATTTGCACCTGGGCAATCTTCCCTTCGGAGTCTGAAGGGCCAAGTGCGGCTGTGATCGCCTACGCTCGTAGTTGTTTGCATCTCCTCGACATCCTCTACGCTGGATCTCGCATTGCCAGCCATATTAGGCAGGTGGTTCTGACCGATGGACCCGCTCCCCCTCCATTAATGCCTACGAACGGAGAGTGTACACGTGCACAGAGGTACCCAGGTACTAGATATGGAGCAGGGTTTCTTAGAT